CTCAGGCAAGATTCATTCGACACACTTACGGTAGTCAGAGAACCTGAAAATAATAGTGCATTTAAAGAGATAGCCATAAGTTTGCTGTGCTGAAATTCCTAAAGCGTACAGTTCGTTTTAAAACTGCAAAAGTAAAGGGGCCCCAACCCCAAAGCCCCTGACTCCCTGCCTCCGGCCCTGTCTCCGGTCATTGCACCTCCATTGAAGCCTGTGTCACATTTTACGGGTGGTCTAAGCCTAAGCTCGTATCGTAGGGCTTATCTTTCAACGGCTTTAAGCTTTGAAGCGAAAGTTCTGAAACTAAGACTATGTTTAAACGTTTGAAAATAGAAAAACTTTTTTCATTAGCACTGAGTTTTGAAATTGTCTCTGGTTATCTACTATATTAATTCTTCAGTTGTGTATTATGATAATTTATACATATTTCAGTGATGTCTGTCTTTGCGTTGTAAATTACGTACTTATTTAAGAACATAAATTGTTGTTTATGTATGTACATTTTAAAATAGTTACTTCAAAGTAGAGATGCACCGAATGTAGATTAAACCGAATACGAATGTTCGGCCGAATATTCGGTTCAAAATGTACCGAACCGAATATTCGGCCGAATCATTCGGTTCGATTAAAACTTAAATTACCAACTAATGTTGACTCTTAAAGTTTCTATAAATTTGTTTTTTAATTTCATTTGTGAACGGATGATATAATTTGTTTATTGTTAATTTTAAAGAATTTTATTCGACTTACATTGAATTAAAACTACAAATAGTTATAACAATTCCTAGTTCACCATTCACTAGCATACCTACATTCCTAGATAGATATTTATTTAAAAAAACGTATTTGATTTTATAAACATATTTGAATACTTGTGTTGGTTCCTTAAGATAGTAGTTATTACATTACAACTATTCTAAAAAAAATTTTCTTAAAATAGTTGTTTGTTACTCAAAGCAGTTTTGGCAGTGTCCTTAAATTTTTCAATTTCATAAAAATTAAATTTATCTTTTTATTTCACAATAAATAATTGGTACAAGTAGTGTCTGGTTCATTTTCAAAAACTATAAAATACTTTCGCTGTAAACCACACTTATTTAGTAATTAGTTAACCAAACTGTTTAATTAAATATTATTTTTTTAATTGTTAACAATAATTTTAATATTCGGTAATTATTCGGCAATTCAACCGAACATTCGGCCGAATACGAACATGAATAAAATATGCCGAATGTACCGAATACGAATATTCAACCGAACATTCGGTGCATCTCTACTTCAAAGTTACTAATACAAAAGCATTTAACTCATAATCGACGTTACTTAGAACAACGTAACAACGAATTAAACCAAAAACGTCACAAATGTTTTCACCCCTCATTACCGTACACATTTCTGTCTTTACGACTTATTCGAAGCCACTCTTAATTTTCTACGCTGAAAGTAACAAATTGAAGTGACAATGTTGCATTTTTGTATACTTTTAAGAGAAAATCGTCTCTATGCCAAAACAAATACAGTTGAGATTGGTGGTTAATTTTCTGGCAGTTACGACATTTAGTTCAAGGTTCATACTTCAGACAGTAGGCACTCGGTCTGAGTCGCAGTCTAGGAATTAATGTGCCATGACTAAAACGTAGCACGCACCAGGCATTTTTCCTATTTTGGAACTTACGCTGTTTGTAGACGAGACATCGATTACACATATGTAAAGAATAATACCACGCTTAGTTTGGCAGTTGACAATTAGGAAAAATATTACAAAGATGTGAATTGTTTGCGCATGATGTAAAACATCTTCTATTATAATATCTATAAATCCAGTGATTTCGCGATTTCTAAGATGGTAAAAATGCATTTGGGTAAGCCTGCTGAATCTCTATAGAAAACTTTAATGTGGCTATGACTTGATTACCGCAATTCATTATCGCCCAAGACAACAATATTCCATTAGTGTTAAGTGAGAAAGATCGAGATTTGATGTCAAAAGAAATACCTAGAAATACCTAACAACCATTATACAGGGTGTTAGGTAAATGGGTATATGAGCCGACACTAGCCCATGTTAACATGGTCATATAAATGGTATGGTGAAGTCAGAAATTTGATATCATCATTTATTTATTTTTTAATTTTCATACAAAATAAAATTTATAAAATCTGATTTGTATGAAAATTAAAATAATTAAAATGAAGATATCAATTTTCTGACTTCACCATACCATTTNAAGTCAGAAATTTGATATCATCATTTATTTATTTTTTAATTTTCATACAAAATAAAATTTATAAAATCTGATTTGTATGAAAATTAAAATAATTAAAATGAAGATATCAATTTTCTGACTTCACCATACCATTTATATGACCATGTTAACATGGGCTAGTGTCGGCTCATATACCCATTTACCTAACACCCTGTATAAGTAGAAACAATAGGTTCTCATTTAGTATTCATTTGTGTTCGCTAAATTCGTTAAATCATCTAGAATCAGGCAAGTAAATACCTGGAAATTCAGGTCATGGAAATAAACTTTTCCTCCATTATGCCTGAAGTCTGATAGTTTTCCAATACTCGTAGTTACTTTATTGTTAACATTTTCTTGACAGCATCACTCAGTTTCAACTTCATAGTTCACGATCTTCAACAAAATTAGACTAAGATTCCGTCTAAGATTTAGAAATAAAATACCTTACGCCCGTATTCACAAACATTACTATGAGGTCTCAGGCTGCAGTTAGACGACATAGCATTGGACCATAAATCATTTCGCATTAAAAATACAGGTCAAACCGACTTTCAACATAATAGGGATAAGTGGAAAAGCTTCCGAATAATAATAGTAAATGCGGATATTTTCCGCAAAAATTCCGATCCAGGAGACGAATTATTGAATCACACGAATTCACAAGTCTTTAAGTAAGTATTCACATTCACGACATAAAATTATTTCCACGTTTAAATTGCAAATAATGAATTTTACTAGGTGTGCTTATTTATTTCTAAGTTAAGTTCCAAGTTTATTTTTTATTCGAAAATGAGATTTTAAAATATTTGATTGTATTATATTATCAATACTTTCGCATTCACTTTCATATGGTATAGTGTATTCAATTTAGCACATAGTATTTTTTCGTGTTCGACATCTGTATTCGACTCGAATGCTTCAAGAATACATCTCCAGGTGAACGACTTAATGACGGCCAATATATCATCGTGGGGCATATGAATAATGGAGAATGACTGAAAGAATTTGTGAGCTTTCGGCTGCGCAATGGTAAGTATTCATTCTTTAAGTTTTTTCCGCTAATGGTCCTGAATTCTTTGGGATTTGGAAGTTATGCTAGTTAGTACTTTGCCGCCTTGGTTACCTAATTGGTTTCTTAAGATTAATGTGAATAGTATTCGTTTCAGCCAAATGACGTCCACCGCTGGACAAAGGCCTTCCCCAAGGATTTCCATAACAACCGGCCCTGCGTTGCCCGCATCCATGTGCTTCCCGCTATCTTCAACAAAATATAGTCTATCTACCTGTCTTCCAGCCTAATGTAACTTAGAATAGAAATATCTCTTATAAAATAGGAAGACACGGGTCTTAACGCGACGTTTATTAATCCGACTAATATTATAAATGTGAAAGTTTGTGTGGATGTTTGTTACTCTTTCACGCAAAAACTACTGAACGTATTTTGATGAAACTTTACAGTATTATTGTTTATAACCCAGAATAACATAATTATAGGCTATAATTTATGACGATATGTGACAAACTAAATTTCACGCGGTTGAAGCCGGGGGTAAAAGCTAGTGAGAAGGTACATAATGTAACTCTAGTTGATATAGAACGTGAAAGTTTAAAATCTAATATCTCTTAAGCCATCACCATGTAGCGGACAAAACTAACACACATTTTGGTTGTAAGTCATCCACCACTTGCCTATCTACAGCTGCAATTATATCTATAATCATTAAACGAGTCAATATTGAGGTCACGTCACGCAGACGGCCAATAGGATTAGAGTCGCGTTTTCCCTTGACGCGTCCTGGATTAAGTGATCATCAACTACTAAACTGAGTTCGTGACACATGGAAGTTTCTAGTTACTGGACAAATCGTTGATTCAGGTGAATTCAGTGTTATTTCAAAATCTCAATTTGGAGAGGCACTTTTAAAGTTTCTTGAGCATTGTTAGAATATTGAATAGCCTCGATGCTAAGTCGTGTCATTCTGCGAGTTAGCTGGTCGAATTAACTGTCCCTTTATGACGTAGTGGCTTTGGTTGCTTAATTTTTCGTAGTATGTAAGTTTTATGATTATTAAAATTGTATAAATGTTAAAAGTGTATGTATATACTCTTCATGGATTATATCTAAAATAAACGATTTAATTTGGTTAATTTGTCTTATTTTATTACATTAATAAAACAAGTGCGAGTCGGGCTCGCGCACAAAGGGTTCCGTAGCAGCAAATATAATAAACTTATTATGTCAATTTAATCAACCTATCTCAAAAACTATAAGAGATACTTTGATCAAACCAAAAATCGTTGAAAGAGTTAATTAGCATGCATCACCTCTATTTTTTTTAGAATTTTATACCCCGTAGTTATAAAAATAGAGGGGGGGGGACATACTTTTTACGACTTTGAGAGCTGATATCTCAAAAACCGTTCACTTTAAGAAAAATGTTTTTTAGAAAACTTTATATCATTTTAAAAGACCTTTCCATTGATACCCCACACGGGTATGTACATCGAAAAAAAATTTTCATCCCTCAGTTACATGTATGGGGGGCCCCACCCCCAATTCTTTTTTTTACTATTTAGTGTCATAATTTTGTAGCGGTTCATACAACACATATTCCCATCAAATTTCATCACTGTAGTACTTATAGTTTCCGAGTAAATCGGCTGTGACAGACGGACAGACGGACAGACGGACAGACGGACAGACGGACAGACGGACAGACGGACAGACGGACATGACGAAACTATAAGGGTTCCGTTTTTGCCATTTTGGCTACGGAACCCTAAAAATACAAAGCTACCGATCTATAACTTCTTTCAAATGCTTCAATGCTTCGTCCAACGCCACGTACACCTCTTGCGTGTCAGGGGCTCGAACCTCCAAAGACTCCGAGGGACTTCTAAACTGGGACTTGTGTAACAAACTCTGTGTGAGAGGGCAGAAGACATCAGGGTTCATGGACTCTGTCCTGGACTTGCCGGTGAGGTAGCTCATGGGTACTCCTATGAGGAGGACAGCAATCACTCCGGTGAAAGGGCAGTAGGTGAAGGAAATCCTGAAGAGGGACTGCAGAGGTTTTGTAGGCAGTTTTGTCCTGAAAATAAAAATGGATGAATTAATTATTAATGGTTAAGAAGATTCAAGTATATTTACGGACGGATTAGCAAGCTGGAGTGGCAATGGGCAGGGCACATAGTAGGTAGGTACGCAGAACTGACGGGGACGGCCGATGGGGCAGCAAGGTTCTGGAGTGGAGGCCGCGTACCGGAAAACGCAGCGTGGGCCTTCCACCCACAAGGTGGACCGACGAAAACATTGGGGTAAGCCTATGTTCAGCAGTGGACATCCTATGGCTGAAATGAACTGAAATTATGGTGATGATGCAGTATATTTACGATAATGTTGCGACTAACCTTCAATTCGCAGATAAACATTTTAATTTTAGGGTAAATCGAATTTCGCTTTATCTACAGACCCTTATAGTACTTAAGTTAAAATGCGATTTTGAACGAAACATACAGTAATGATGACTACCAACTGTAAATACTGTATGAATACAAATAAATAAGACTAAAACCCGTATTTATATTAAAGCCGACATAAAAAAGACGCATGGATACAGATTCCTAAAACAAACGAAGCGAATATATTTCGACGTCTTCAAAGGGAAAAAATAAAAATACGCAAAAACCTACTACATAAGAAGTAAAGTATTCAGAACCAAGGTTATACGAGGTAAAAGGTTTACTAATAGTACAAGAACAAAATAAAGTCCCGAAAAGGTCTACAGGCTCATCCGACATCAGTCTCGTTTTAGATACACTTTCGGCGAATTCCTCCTTATAAAGTATTCTTTCTTCTTTTCAGCCAAATGACGTCCACTGCTGGACAAAGGCCTCCCCCAAGGTTTTCCACAATGAACGGTCCTGCGCAACAGGAGAACCAAAGTAACCGACATAGCTCGCAGAATTGCTAAAATCAAGTGGCAGTGGGCGGGGCACATAGCTCGTAGAGACGATGGCCGTTGGGGCAGGAAAGTTCTCGAGTGGCGACCACGGGCTGTAAGACGTAGCGTGGGCAGGCCTCCTACTAGGTGGACCGACGATCTGGTAAAGTATTCTTTAGTGTACATAAAACTATGAACCTTACGAAGATCCGTTGGGGTTTATGGAGCTGTAAAGATATCGTGCGGTTATAGAATAACCACAGAAAAGAATCTAGAACAAAAGTCATAAAAGTAGAAGAATCGAGTAATAGTAATATGGGGAAAGTTTTAATAAGGGGGAAAATAAAAGTGAGCTCGATATCACCAAAGTTGCAAGAGATTAAAACTTTGTCACAAACTTTGTGGGGAACTCTTAAACGAGTGTGAACTCATTTGCGGTCATAAAGTACGGTTTGTAAGAATGGGTAAGTAACTTTTTAGTAGCTAAAGCGAATACTGCACTTGCCAGGATATAAAATTACTTGTAAATTTACTTCAAGTCAACGTTTAGTAAGACGTCCCGGCATTTTTGCTACGATATTTTAGAATCGGAGCGCTCTCGCTTCGACATAGAATTTCTAAGATTTTGGATTCAAGATTCGAAAGTCATGACATGGTATCTCCATGTCAAAGTATTTTAGTAATCGCATTTTAAAAGAATCCTACGAATGATGATTATTTTCATTAAAACAATGATTTGAATTGAATTGAAATTTTTATTTTCTCAACAATTTTTTAATATAAATCTTCAACTGTTTAAAATGTGAGATTTGAGCACTTTTATTATTAATTTTTTAGGTCGCGTTACATTCTTTATTTTAAAGTAGCCGAAAGGAGCATTGTTACTTTTGTAACGTATTTATTGAGAACTTTTTAATATCTAATCTTCACGAATATTCTACCTCTATTTAAGTCTAAAAAGCTTCTATCTTTGACCTTTATTAAAACTATGTTCATTTCTTTGATATCAAGTGGTATAGATGACATAGATGACACTTCATTATAGAAGTGGGTCAGCAGTTTGGATCTCTGCCAGATCGAAGTTCGGGGGCCATAGAAAACCAACATCTGCAACGACTGGTCACTGCATGATTTATTTTAAATGCAAATAACTGCGGCCATTTATTAACTTAACGACTCCTGTTATGAATCTGAACTATTGTTGTAGGACGTTTGAATGAATAACTGTAATACGGATTTGCTTTTGGTAAAAATCGCTTGACTTTGGTGGAGCTGTCTCCACTAAAACGTACTGGAAGCAAACATTTGAATAAATTATAAGCTGGATTTTAATAACTTATGTAGAGGTAGGTTAATGATACCTACATCAAATTTTAAGAAGGTAGGCCTATCATAAATCTCTTTTTGGCGATTTACTCTCGAAAATCGATTGACGTCCATAATACAATGCAAGACTAAGGAAGATAGTACTTAAGTTTTCGTTAGTTTCTACTTCATACATGAAAACTCATTTACCTATATCATGTAGGCACAATATTTATCAAACTAAGTAGGTACCTACTACATATTTTTTAAAACCACACCTACGACACGACTAAACACAAAAATATGAACATTATCATTAGGTAAGTATACTTACGCAGCAATAGGCACAACCGTTAGATTAGCCAATGCATGGGTGAAGTTAGCCTTCCCACATCCAGAAGTGGCCAACGGTTTCCCTTGGAAAGTCAAGGCTCCAGTGGCCAAGGCGTTCTCAGCACCGATCAACAGCCAACCGCACAGCATCAGACTGAGGAGGCAGCCGCTGAGAGCTCCCTAAAATAAAATCAAAAGGAAATAATCAACTCATTTTATAACACAATCATATTTAACGCCATCTAGTTAAATTACCTACTATCAATTAAATGAAATGCACGCTCATGGCTTAAGCTCACTTTGAAGTAGTACTGCATAAATAAAATAGATGGCGTTGTTGGGGAAAAGCTTGTTGACTCGAGAGATGGTATTATGTAATACAATATAAGTGCGATAGATGGCGCGTAAGAACAGTTTCTTCTGAAGAAAACAAAATTCCAGGTTTACATAAATCTAACATTATCTGATATTGAAAATAAATACATAATAAGGGAGAGTCCGCTAATTTGGACCAGTTTTTTTCAATACCATTTTACACATAGTTTTCTTTTGTTTTTGCTAATGTCCATGGTATATAATAAAAGATACATTATTCAACTTACTATTTCATAAGTATTAATTAACATGATTGTTGTATATTTAGCACAAATCAACAAAGTACGAGTTCAGAGCTTCGGTCCAATTTAGCCAACCGGTTCGATAATTTGTACCACAGGGTTACTAAATTGGATTTCAATAAATTTCAAGCCTATAAAAAAACTATGGAAAAATATTATACGATACATTCTTAAGAAATTAGGAAACGAAAAGGAACAGTAGTTAATAACATAGACAATCGATATTGTTTTACACGTTATCACGATTTTGACTACAAGTTTTGTAATTCCAATTATCGTAACGCACACTTGTACCTAATCTTCTTTGCCAGTATTTTGCTTTCATTTATTGTTAGTCAAACATAACTAACCCTATTATAACTTCAAAATATGATTTACTAAAAAAAAAATCAAAATCCTTTGGTAAGGTTCCATACAACTTGATGTGGTACAATTTAGCCGACTAGGTGATAGTGCTCTTAAAAAATCGGAAAAAAATATAGCTTATAAATACCGAAAAATGTTTCAAATAATTGTAATCCACACTAATTTACGCTTCTAAATAATATATTAGAAACACCCTGTGATTAAATTTAACAAAATTACAAACTAATCATGTATTGTCAAAAGTTACTTGAAAACAATGAAAAAATACTTTTCAAAATAAAACACACGTGTTTGTTGTCACGGCAAAAACCACATGGCCGATATTAATTGATTTTAGTTGTGTATCGCTGAGTGTTGCAGTTACAGACATTGAATAAATACTTTACGAAATATGAGGGTGGTACAATTTACCCGGCGGTACAATATACCGAACTCTCCCCTAATATAAAAAATATGGTCATATTATCGGTTATTTGAAATAGTCAATCTACAATTTATTTGCCAAATTATAATACATAACTATAAAAAATATTGAAACAGGCCTTTACATAAACAATATTGGAACACGATATTCAATAAATAAAGTGTGAAATGATTTTTGAATTAGAAGTGGAATATTAAACTTCTTACCGAACAGTTAGCTCTTGGAAAGACAATGCCCAAAGTGAACAGGCCAAGGAGAGTGCCAGCTGTCACACCAGTCACTCCTGAAGCCACATGCTGGAGGCGGTCCAGCTCTTTAGCAAACCAGACCACGCCTCCGCAGTATAACCCAACCAGAACACATAGCACCTAAAATACAACACTTTTTGGTAATGCATAATTTATTTTTCACTTGATATGAAAAAAAAAGAATGTTGATTCATTATTTTTTTAGACTTCCTGGACTAATGAATTTTACAATGTTACCTCAGATTTACACTTAGCTACTTTTTGTATGTGCATAATTTATCCAATATAGCGTCATAAAAATAAAATTTTTACCTTCATAATCTTACAGCATGCCAGTTCATTTGTATTTTGTGGCATCCAGGGCCGAATGAATTCTTCAAAAAGAACCCCTCCGATTGAGTTTATTAAAGATGCAATACAACTGTAAATAATAAAAAATAATGTAACGTCTAAAAATTTACTTCAGGATCTAAATGATGCGATTGCTAGTGGAACTCACCCAGTAGTAGCACTAAAAATGGAGATTATGAAAATTCCGCAGATCCCGGGAAACATTACGGATAAATTGTTAAGGAATTGAGGTACAAGCTGTAAAAAATATTCAGATAAAAAATAATGCAAGTAAAAATAAAGTGATAGAGTCAAATAATAATTATTCTTCTAAAAATATTTCGATGAATGAATTGAGGTCTAATGAAATCTTGGGATAATACCTACCTGTTCATGTTTTTTAACTTGCCCCGTAAGCAGAGGATCGCATCCAGCAAACCAGGCATATAACGCCAGTCCAAGGAAACAAGAGAGCAATTTCATCAAGATGACTCCAAGGCACGATAAGGCCAGGCATAACCTAGCCTTGCTTATCGTAGGTACAGCCAGGAGCTTCTGTAGAGACGACTGGCTTAGAGCTATTTTCCATAGCCAATTCGTACTGAGAGCTAAAGTCACCACAAAGAATGATGTGTGATGAGCCATTTCTGGGTCAGGGCTAAAAAGGTAACAAACCAATATAAATTTCTATGACTGAGTGAAGAAATCGCCATCCAAAAATTATAATAGCATACTCGTAAAATACTAGACGACCACCATGGCTGGCGATTTCCCACATCCTTTTGAAGCCCATTGGTAATAATGCTAAACCACTTGGTAGAGCAGTTCCAGCTAAAGCCAGAAATGTGGTTACTATGCCGATACTAACTATAGCTCTTAAGCCACCAATAGCAATGAAGGTAGCACACGCCACACAAGTCACTGCTGTTATGTGGCCTGCTAGAGGATTGGTAACTGAAAATTTATAAAATATTTGTTGTTTGAATTTTAACTCTTTGAAATGTATTTTATTGGGGTTTTAGGAACTCACTTACCTAATCTAAAAGCCATCATTGGCACATAAGGTACAATTGGTAGCAACATCAGCTTGCTTATGACAAACAACACAGCAGCAATTGTTCGAGTGTGTGTCGAGAATCTTATTTCTAAATATTCGAAACTTGATGATAGTTGCAATTTGTGGAATACTGGAATTTAAAAGAATCACAAATTAACTCATGTGGTTCTAGCAGACTATGATAGTTAAGATTACTTCTACTATTCTCATAGAGGGAGAAAATAAAATGTGAACATCAGATTCAGGCCTTCCCAATCCGGCTTGATAGCGTGGAAGGCCACATCCAAATTTGCCTCTGGTAAATTGGATAGAGTCGTGTTTCTTCCTGCATTGGAAACTATGACCTGATGATGATGGTGATATTATAATATGAGTTAACAGCACGTCTGATATTTAGCAGGCATTTTAACTAAACAAACAAGTTCCTTTCCTTATCAACATCCATTAAATTAGCGTCACGCTACTAAATCGCATAAGGTATTATGATCTTAGTTCTGGTTTGTTGATGCTAGTGCTAAGCAATAACTCAGGAATATAACAATGGAGGCAGATTTGCAGAACATTATTATAAATCTTTGTATAAGATAAGACAAGGAGGTAATATTTTTCTTGGTAGATTAACACATTTGCTATTATTCTGTCCCTTAAAAGTTTTACCAGTATCTTAATGCCAATATAAAAAAAAAAAACAATATTTCAATGTAGGTATGTCAGTATGTGGCATTTAAACCCAAAATAATAGAGCGCAAAAAAATCGGACGCAATATTGGAAATATCAAACTACAATACACAATAAATTATGAGTAGAAGTTCTAGTACTTCTAGCAAGTACTACTAGTAAGTTTACATGTCATTCCTATGTCATTTCGAATGTACACAATAACATTTCAGCTCATTGAACACTACGTCTACCTCACAATCTTATGTAAATACTGATAACTCAATTTGCTCACTAACTGTGAGAGTATGAGTAATAATAATAATATTTTTTGTAATGACTTACCCGGCAAATAAATGACTGCAGTAAGAAATGTCACGATAATTAAAGAAAGTGCCGAGGCCCAATATTGCGTGCCTCTCAGATATATCTCTACTGGTACACCAAGCAATGTAATGCTAGTCAAGTGACTGGAAATAGTGAAAATTGTAGATGAATATGAATAGTCCATTAAAGAAGTAATATCTTAGATATTTTTATGTTTTTATTTCATTGAGCTATTTTAAATGAATACAGTGCATTATTAAAGACACTTACCTCGAAATTAAAGCCAAAGAAATCGATATAACCGACATATTTTTGCCACCAAACAGAAAACCATTCACTGAATTATATTTACGGTTCACTATATTGAAATATAGAATTAATCCTATGATTACACCTAAATTGATTCCGAAGAGACAATATTCGGCCACATTGAAATATATTGGAGACACTGGTGTTGCGTTTCTCATTTTTTGGCGATTTTTATTCTTTGAAAATTTGGATCAGAGTGAAATTAGCTGAGAATTAGTTTTTGTATTTTTCGCAATATACGATTTATACTAATTATTTTATTTAATGAAACGTGTTACAAGCCGCGTTTATTGTTACAGAGTAAGTTATCATGCGTTCAGTTGTAGCAACAATAGGAAAGATATAACAGTGATAAATGTGGATTTGCCTTCAATCTTTCAGCAAATAACGCTCGACTCGAGAAGTCGAGTTCACTTTGTTCGGGCAAATTTTATGATGAATAGCATTAGGATGTAATTGATACTCGTAACAGTTGCTACCCAAGATTTTTTATTTATTTACACTGAAAATAAAAACTAGGAAAAAACACTGAAAAAAAAAATTATGGAATGTAAAGAACCTCGATCATGGCAATAAAATGACAATAATTATTTACAATGCTTCCCTAGTTAATAGGTAGTAGCTGTGGTAGTAGTTTATAAAATGTTACGACATAAAAAAGTATGGAATAAAATAAAAATAAAAATATTGTGAAATAATGAAACTCCCTAAATAATGCATTTCGTATAAAGCGCCATCTATGCGGGTATGGATACTCTATTTGAAATCAGGAACTAAAAGCACGACGTAAGCTTTAGCATGCCTCGTTTATCATAACGTTCGCACATTTTGAACTAGATGGCGCTTTTAACGAAATTTAATTACTTATGTTCAAAATATTATAATATTTTTTGTGCTTCTTCAAATCTTCAATCACAAATTTAGTACTATGTAAAATTAAAAAAATAAATTGAAAATTAATGCGGAGATATGTTACCTTAAAGACTGGAAGATTACTACCTAAATTACCTCCGATTCCTATTTCGAAACCCCCACTTATCTGAAATTATGTACTTGAAGAAATATTTTATCCAAAAAATATTTCTAATATATTAAGTTTGAGTTCTAGGTAGGTAGTAGGTAGGAGTTTCCGATTAGCGTAGATCTTTTTCCATGTAAAAAAAACAAAATAATCCCAACTATTTTTCCTTATGGAAAACTGTCGCTGGGTAAAACGTACATATTTACGTTTCATAGTTTCAGGGGGGTGGGCGGGTTATATTATTATGGATGGCAGGTCGCTCTTCCCACATTAGAATATTACTCTCGCACCTGCCCTGCGACCTCGGTAAATACAGTTTTTACTCAGTTTTACGACGAGGTTAGTTTGTATGCTGATTTTTTGCATTTCTGGTATTGCTAAGGTGTAAAAGTATAGGGATTATTGGAAATTGAAATAAACTAAAGCCGTCTTTTTGGACATTTCTAATAATGACGAAAACCTGTATAAATGACATTGGGAACTTTTTGCCCCACTTTTCGAAAAGTAGCGGACACAAACGAAACCTATCACAGATCATACATACTAATATCCAATGAATTTCCGTGCATTTTTTTTCTCTCTCTTATATGGGAATATTGAGAAAATGAAGTTTTAATATTTTATTTTATTTTACATTTAGGTAACATTTTTGACGACCTCCGTGGCGGAGAGGTGCACACACCGGTTTTCAAGGTGTGCCGGGCCAATCCTGAGGTCCCGGGTTCGATTCCCGGTCGGGACAATATAGAAAACGATCTTTTCACATTGTCTCTGGTTTGGGTGTGTTGTGGTTCGTCGTTCCCGATTTCCATAACACAAATGCCTTAGCTACTTATTTTGGGTTGGAGTAATATATGAGATGTTGTCTAGTATTAATTTAAGTATTTATAATATTTTATTTATTTATATTATTTTATTTATATTTTTTGTTTATTTATATTATTTTATTTACTTTTATTGGTTACTCTGCAATGCCAAACAACATAACATGTAAAAAAGTAAAAATATCAAATCATTTTAGACAAATATATTTTCAACTTAGACTCGTCATATCTCAGAATTCCCATATCTCACAACATAGCGCTTTAAGTGAATATACCTACAAGTATAAAGCTTTGAAATAAAATACGTTTCATTTTTGTCCGCCGTGGGGCATTTTCTCATATTAAAGTTCCCAATGTCCTTTTGTAAAAAATTTAAAATACATTAAAGGAAAACTTAGTTCTATTCTATCTCATTCTGCTGTGCTTTAGGATTAATCATGACAGAAAATAAACTGTTTTTTACAACCTATCCCTAAGTAGGCAGGATATCTACCTAGACAGTCACTTTTAAGTTAATGCTATAGATTTTTAAAAACGTATCACAGAAAACAAAATTATTTTATTGTCTCAAGTAATCCTTTATTTTTTGAACAAAACTCTAAAACCCACCTAATTGTCGTCAGCCGATGCCCAAACACTCCGATAACGCGTAATAGCGCCATAAATTCTAACCACGAACACATTGGCATACACAAATCATCTAATACCTACACAATATCGCGAATATTTCCCGTCCAGAACACTGGGTGACACGGGACCTCCCAAACGGCTCAAGTACACTATGCGGGAATTGGCCAAGACGTAACAGTGTGAACACCATCTCGGTTAATTTCTCTTTCCCCCATATCCGTGCGTTGCCTTATACTTCGGTGTGCGGAGCGCTTCGACTTGGACAATTTTCCGCAGTGTAATTGCGCCAAAATAAACAGAAGTTCCTTCAAGGGGGGAGTCAGCTGAGGAATAGAGAGGGATGCCAACACAACTACCCAAGTAGTAGGGAATTTAGTGCAAGAACCCCTCCACTTTAGTATAGAAGGCTCATTTTTGCAACAGTGGTTCTTTGGGTGCTCCTGAGTGGATTTCCGTCGGTAGACATCGGGAGCCCCCCCTGTGGTAGCAGGGGGAGGGGGGGCAAGTTTCCTTCTGCCGCGCTTCACTTTAAGGCCCATATCTTCAAAACTATGGGTATTAGGGCAAGTGTGGTATCATTTTCAGATAATTTAAGGATGGTGAACTNCCTCGGCAGCTACGGGCAAACAGGTCCATGTAGGCTCCATGTTGCTATCGACTCTGGTCCACCCCCAACCAGTCGGGTAAAGGGAAGACTGAGTCGGTTGCTTGCACCTGATCCTATACGCGAATCCCTTAATATACTACCAGTAGCCAATGCTGATACAAAGCTGCTGCTGCTGCTGTCTGGGTTATCTTATGTAGGGCCTAAGCTAAGCTAAGCTAGGTCTAAGCGTAGTCCACAGCAACCCATTAGGATCTTTATGCTCCCTTTTTTATTCCCTATCATCCAAAAAAATCCTATCCAGTAGGTGAATTAAGCGTCTGAGTGAAAGCCATCTAAGTCTTCTGATGCCGGATATGCTGACCCAAGCAGACCCATCCTTACAGTATTGATTCATGGACCCCACATGTATTCCACATGCTCGAGAGCTGTCTTCTGTTGTTATGCCCATTTTGTGGGACATGTGGTTCGTTCCATAATGCCCAGTTTGCGTCCACTTTGCGTACCTGTAATTGCTTGGGCTTACCTTTTATTTCCGCTTAATGAGTTTTCTCCATGACATGACCCTGTTTCCTTTTAGGAATGATTTGGAGAGGCTTATATCGTTGAAGCTTTCCCATTCAGCACTGTGCTTCTGGGATATGGCCAATATTATTATGGCCATGAGGTATGCTGTTAGATAAAGGTAAGTATCAGTTCTGACCCAATAGGTATCGCCTCTGACCCTAGTTTCGCTAGACTGTCGGCTCTCCCATTGCATTTGATCCGTGTATGTCCAGGTATCCCACATCAGGGACACTTTTTCATGCCTTCCGAGTTTGTTCATCTTTAAGATTGCATCTAGAATAATTCTAGACTCAACCTTCACTGAGGCGATGGCTTTTTGTTTGTGTGCTGCCTGGCTGTGGATCAGGATTTAAATATTGCGTTTTTTACACCCCTGTTCTTTAGTGCACACATAATTATAGCGTAGAATTCAGCTTGAAACACTGTAGCAAACCTCCTTAAGCCGCTTAACCGCTCGAACATAGTGAACGCTTAAGTTAAGCGTTCACTATGTTCGAAGTGTTTACAGTAGACGTAGACGCCCGTTCCCGTTCCTAAGGCCATCTTTGCAGTGGCGGCGTAAGTCCTAAGGCACGCCCTGGTAACCCCCACGATTTTGGGGTTACCTACCGATTCCAAGATTGAAAGACAATGACATAGACCGCAGACTTGCTATGCAGATGCGCCAGTGAGTACTAATCTGTGCGACATGTGTCACCCCCTGATGCTTGGCACCCGTGGCGGACCGCCCCCACCGCCCCCCCCTTACGCCGCTACTGCATATTTGAGCTGTCAGTAAACCAGATTAGGCTGTTCTGTTGGGATTTTGGTCCTCTTTTCTAGTCGTCCCTTGTTCAAGATCAATCCAAGGGGTTCGTGTATAGGATCAGGTGCAAGCAACCGACTCAGTCTTCCCTTTACCCGACTGGTTGGGGGTGGACCAGAGTCGATAGCAACATGAAGCCTACATGGACCGGTTTGCCCGTAGCTGCCGAGGCTTGTCTGGAAATGGTGAGATGTAAGTGCAAGAAGTAGTGCAGAAGCTGGTGCTGTCTGAAAAAAAAAAACTAAAACGGTCACAGCCGTAACCTTTGTGCTAAAAATATCTCCCGTACTATGATTGTGAAACCTCATTTTCCTCACACTTACCTTTCCGTTAAATCACTGGTACAATAGTATGTAGAAATAAAAGTGTTAATTAAAATAATAATAATCATTAAGACGTTTAGACAAATTAAAGTTCTTTATTTAGTGCTTTCTTCTTATGATATTTTCAATATTAAAATGTATTTAAGCTATTTTCAACCTTATGTCTCACACATAGAGTTCAAAATCAATTGACGAAAAAATACAAATTATGGTAGATTGATGTGCCAGCAACTCTAAATAAATTCTAAAATAATAATCCTTGCTTGCTTATGAACCAAATAGTATGAATTCATGGATAAAATAAATATTTTTTTCCGATGCGCAATAAAATTCGCCCGCTGTGTCCTGAAGAAAAAATTTTTTTCACCTACTTTTTGCGAAAAA